GGTGTCTTGGTTGTTTAGTAATCTGATATGTTCTATTAATGTAGAGTGGAAACGCTCAATTGGGGAATTTGATTCGGGATGTTGAGAACTTATAAAATGAATTTTGATTTTATGAAGTTGCAAAAGCTCTTTTAACATGCCGTTGTTAAACTCACTACCATTGTCCGAGATAATTTGTTCCGGAATTGCGTGGTGTGTAAAATATTTAATCAGATTATTTATAACTTCTATACTGGAAGCTGAGTTAAGTTTATATGCTTGGCTATATTTAGAAAAAGTGTCTATTATTGTTAGAAATTTACATTTTTCAAGGGAAATACTATCCATGTGTAGTATTTGAAATGGCCTTGTAGCCGTAGGTGTTATATTAAATTTCAGGTTCAATGGGTTTCTATCATACTTGGTAAGTTGACAGATTTCGCAGTTATTTATATAATTTTGGATTGTATTTCTTTGGTTTGGAAAATAGTAATGTTCTTTATGAATTCGTTTTTCTGTTTCCTCTATGCCGCGGTGGTTTGTTTTTCCCTCGTGATAATTAATAATTGTTTGCTTGATTTCGTCTTCACCTATAACGTCTGTAAGATATTTTGTACATCTTATTAAATTAATTTGTGAATTTTTAAAAAATGTTTGCAATACACAGCAAAATTTTTCGTAAATTGGGTCTTCGAAGTAGACATAATACTTAATTTTTGGCGCGATATAGTCTTTAATTAACTTAATCACGTCTTGTTCAAAATTATTTTTTGAAAGTTGTACTAACAGTCTTTGTTTTGTTCTATATAAAATTATTCTGGATGGTTCCGCAGGAGCATACTCGACAAGAGAAATTATTATTTGGTTTTTTCCGTAATTTACTGGACATGATACTATGGGTATACTTACAATAGGGTTTTCGGAATTAGAGTGTATTGTGTTTAGGTCACTGTCTTCCGTTTGTTTTGTCGGTTCAATGTCTTGACTACGTTCTTTGTCATCAATGTCGTCGGTTTCTACAATTACAGATGTGTTGTCCGTATCTTTAACCGCGGAAAAGATGTCGTTGAATTTTTGCATGTAGTGCATTAAAGGTTCGTTGACGGTATTTCCGGTATCAGGTTTGTTTTGACTGTTATTTAACTCTTCACAAAAATCATCTATGAAAGAGGAAATTGCGTTTTTTGTTTCTTTATGGTCAGTAATATTTAAATTAGGACAGGGTTCAATATCATATATAAATATTTTAATATTTGTGTTTTGAAAAATAAGTTTTATTAAGTTAAATATTATATTCCAATTTAATTTATCTAATCCTGAGCCAATTTTTGGCATCGCGACTGAGTAATTTTTAAAATTTAAACAGAGTCTTTTTAGGGTAATTAGGGCACTTATAATTGAAAAGTATGTGGGTTTGTCCCTAATTGACCTTTTTGTAATAAGATAATAAATGTTTCTTTTAGGATGATTAAGATATGCTACTTCACCTACTGGTTTATTTTGTGACTTTAGGGTATTTATGCAATTAAATTTTTCTTTGAATTTACGAGCAATTCCTTTATTCATACTTAGGGCCGGTTTTTCAATCATAGTTTAAACTTGGTTCAGCATTTGAACTTCGTTCAAACAAAATATGCCGTTTTTCAATCAAAGTTCAAGCTTGAACTTGGTTTAAACTAAATCAAAAGATGAACCGTCACTGTTGGCCGTTTAAACGAAGTTCAACTTGACATAACTTATTTTTTCTCTGCTTTATTGTGTATTACGTTGTTTATGTCTTGTTTTGTGATCTGCTGTTATAATAAACCAATGGATATGTTTGAGGTAGTTAGTGAGGATGATGAGGAAATTGGCGAATTCCTAAATAATATTCAACTTCGTGTGCACAGGCCAGGAATTTTTTGCCAGATTTCGGTTTTCCAAACCTTTTTTACGTAGGATAATGGATTTAATTAGACCAGTTATTGCAAATCCGACCAATAGGTTAGTTATAAAAATAATTACTGAATAGGTTATAGATTTTAGTGAAATTGATCACATGTAACAAAAAACGACAAATTCAATTTATACTATAAAACGAAATACATACAAATAATTCCTCCTTAAAAGAGGTAAAGTTGGCAGCACGATTTTTATACATAATAAATAATAATTATTGTTCTTTAACAATACTAAATTGTTTTAAAGGAACCTTTCGCACAGATTAGAACTTTTTAAAACAGCACAGATAAACAAAACTCCAAAAGTAAACACAAAATCCTTTTGTCAAAATGACAGTTTTAACTACTATTAATGTAGGCGTATACTAAATTCGGTTGTACCAACTTAACGTTGACACCGCTGATCTAAGTTCAACAGAACTGCTGTTGAGTCGACATTGAAAAACTCATTTGACTGTGAACTGAGTTCATTAACTGATCTAAGTTCCCCTGAACTAAGGTTTAAACCCTAATTGAAAAACCGGCCCTTAGACATTGCGATACACAGTGTGCAAGTGATGTCTCATCTTGACAATTAAATAGATCGTCATAAACTATTTTAACATTTGGGTTGGTTATTTGGAGATTGTTATAGAGTATTTCGTTAAGGGTTTTATTTTGTTTTACTGCGTTTTCAAATTCGATTAAGTTAATTTCGTGTTTAGGTATGTTTTGGTTGTCTCTAATGTAGTCCGAATCTTTATTGTCTTGTATAGTATTGTCTTTTAGGACTTGTGCGTAACTTAAATTATTTGTCGTCTTATTTTTGTTAGTGGTTTCCTTATATAGGTTTTCTGGAGTATTTTTATTATTATCCGATAAGTCTGAGGGTATTCTTGATAATGCGTCTGCGTTAGAATTTAAGATACCTTTTTTATAAACTATTTCATACTCGTATTGTTCCAAATATAGGCGCCACCTACTTAATTTAGAGTTTGGTTCCTTCATTGATATTAACCCTTGTAACGGTTTATGGTCTGAGACAATTTTGAACTTTTTTCCGTAAAGATAAGGTCTAAAGTATTTGACTGCCCAGATAATCGCTAAAAATTCCTTATGAGTCGTGCTATAGTTTATTTCTGAGTCGTTAAGTGTTCGACTTGCGTAAGCAATTGGTAAATCAGAGCCGATTTTACCTTGGGAAAGTACAGCACCCAGTGCATAGTTAGAGGCATCCGTCGTCAATATAAAAGGTTGAGTAAAGTCAGGGTATTGAAGGATTGGTTCGTTAATTAAAAGGTTTTTGCAGTGGTTAAAGCAATTTTGTACTCGATGTTGTTAACATCTATTTTATTATTTTTCTTTAAACAGTTTGTCATGGGTTTAGTTAACTTAGCAAAATCCTTAATAAACTTCCTATAATATCCTAATAAACCTAGAAAAGCTTTAATTTGTTTGGTTGTTTTTGGTATGGGGTAGTTTTGGATAGCTCTAATTTTTTTCAGGATTAGGTTTAACGCCGTGTGGTGTTACAACATGACCTAGAAATGCGACTTCCCTTTTGAAAAATTCACACTTATCGATTTGTAATTTTAAGTTCGCAGAACGTAATCTATTAAAAATTTCTTTGAGGCTAAGTATATGTTCCTGTAACCCTGTGCTAAAACATATTATATCATCAAGATATACACAACAATTTTTATTTAAAATACCGCGAAGAAGGTTATCCATAATTCTCTGGAATGTGGCTGGGGCGTTTTTGAGCCCGAATGGCATACGTAGAAATTCGTAGTGACCGTTTTCTGTGCTGAAAGCGGTTTTCTGAATATCTGTTTGTGCCATTTCAATTTGGTGGTAGCCACTGGCAAGGTCGAGGGTACTGAAATACATACATCGCCCTAATTTGTCAAGCAAATCCGTTATGTTTGGTAACGGATATCGATCATCGATAGTTTTTTCATTTAACTTTCGATAGTCGATAACTATGCGCCATTTGCGTTGGCCAGAAGAGTCTGCTTTCTTTGGCACAACCCAAATAGGTGAACTCCACGGACTATATGAAGGCCTTATAATTTTTTGTTCTAACATTTTCTTAATTTGTTTTTCCACCTCCTGTTTATGGATTTGTGGAAACCGATAAGATTTTGCATAAACAGGAATTTCGTCTTTAGTAATTATTTTATGTTTAATTTTACTTGAAAAACTTAAGGGTTTATTTTCAGTATGAAAAATGTCAGAATATTCGCGTAACAGTTTTTCTATTACACTTTTTTCTTCATCGTTCATGTGGTTAATTTTTATTTTCGATAGATCAATTGTTGTATCACCACAATAAACGTTTATGTTATTAAAATTTGTTGCTTTTTGTTCCCTAAATTCATTAAACAATTTAACATGAATTGGACTAATTTTAGCGGGAATGTCTTTATTTGTAGGGTTAACAACACTACAATAAGTAGTAAAATTTTTTACAGTAGCTACACTTTCTGGGATTTCCAAATCGCCAGATTTCATATAGGGTATAATGACGTCTCCGTCTTTAACATTTTTAACATTAATTTTTATTATTTGTTCGGTTCTAGCTGGGACTACTATGCTGACAGGCCCACTAGACAGTTTTAAATAGTGAATTTTAATTCTACAGTTCGGTGTGATTAATACGTCGTTTTGTAGGTCAATCACCGCGTTAATTTTCTTTAAATTGTCTAACCCTAATAAACAATCAAAGTCTTTATGAAAATTAAATAAATGAAATTTTAAATTTATATTATTTTTAAATAATGCTCCACAAGGAATCTCTGTACTGTACTTTTTCAAGGAGGTACCGTGTGCGCTTGATATAAGGAAAGGGTTGTATTTTATGTTTTTTGAAAATAACCTATTTGCAATATCTGGTTTAACAAATGATTTTGTGCTTCCATTGTCTATCAAAATTTTTAAATTTAACTTTGGAAAGATTATATAAGAAAGTTCACTTTTATCATTTGTCAAACTCATTATTTGTATTCTTCCGAGGCTCAATTTCCTAAAAAATCCGCGCCGTCGTCAATTTTTTCGCTTTCTCTTGGGAAATCAACGTGTGGATCGCTATGCAAATTAAACAGTTCCTCTATTTGAACATTTGGCGAAGATCTGTTTTGATTATTAAAATTATTAGTTGTAAAATTTTGCCTACCCTGTGACATATTAGTATTAGGTGTAGAGATACTCATAGGGGTTGGTTTGGGCACTCTTACGTTGGGATTTGGATTAAAAACGTCATTTCTATAACTTGGACCCGGTTGGTTTTGATAATTGTTGTTATTATTAAAGTTATTTCTATTACTAAAATTGTTACTAGTATTATTTGATTGGGTGTTCATATTTCTTGGTTTTGGTTGATAATTATGGGGATAATTCGTTAAGGGTAATGGTTTTGGGAAAATTTGGTGCTGTTTGTGCATTTGCAAATTTCCTTTATAGTTGTTAAATTTCGATTTAGGTTGCGAAATATGATTTTTACTATTTTGATTATTTATTTCTAACTGAAAATCGTTAGTTAGCATATTAAGTGCGGTATTTAAATCTGCAGGGTTTTTGGTACGCATAAGTGAACCTATAGGTTCGCGAAGACCTCTTAAAAGAACACGCAGAGCGTATTTTCTTAAATATGCTGTTAAAACTGCAGTTTCGTTTGCATTTTCAAGATGGATAGTTAAGTAAGCAATTTGTAAATTAAGTAAAGTAAGAATATTATTATAAAAATCGAAAACTGATTCTCTAAATCCTTGTTTCAGTTCGGTCATTTCGATACCTAAACTAAAAACATCTCTTTTATCGCTATATGTATTATGTAGAGCAGTTTTTAGTTCTGCCCAATTGGTAATTAAACAAGATGAAATTTTGATGGCGGCATCGCCTGTTACTTTTGCTAAAATACTAGACATTAAATATTCATTTTGAAAATCTGTTGGGTCTTGGACATTATAGAATTTTGTGACTATTTTTTCACAAATTTCAATAAATCGTGGTAAAAGTTCGGATTCTCCGGAAAATTCTGGGATCATTTTAAGGTATTCGGGTTTAAGGACGTTAGCCATGTTTGGGTTAGGGGTATTTGTTTCGGAAATATTTAAATTAGCAAGATTAATGTCAGGGGTTTGATTTAAAATATTTTCAATAATGGTGTCGTCTAAATCGACGCTGCTATCTGTTTCGGAACTTGAGTCTGATTTGGGGTCGTTAGGGAACAATCTATATTCATTAAATGACATAAGTACTTACAGGCAAATTATCGTTGCTGGTACCGTCTGCATCTGTGATGTCCTCTCACTTGCGACGGGTGTGGTGATGGTTTCTTGTGTCTGCTCACTTGAAATTTCACCTGGTTCAATCACCAATTAATCGTAGGGACGATAACAATTTCTTGCCAAATTGTCTTGGTGAAACTCCGACTGCGCCAATTACGTTACGATAGTGCCCGAAAGAGTTTTTAAAAACAATTTATTTTTATTTAATAATAACTTTTGTTTTGGAATGAAATATAATTTAATTATAATAAGTTTATTGAGTGATAGCTAATTACAGACTGAGAAATTATAATGATTAATTTAGTAAGGTAAAAATGCTGACAACTGCAGTTGTCACTCCTTATAAGGACATCATGCACAACCTCATTTATTTCGCTAACTCATGAGTTAGCGAAATATATGAGGTTGTGCATGATGTCCTTATAAGGAGTGACTTCGTCACGTAACTTTTATGTTTATGTTTTATAGTTTTTATATGTATGTTATAGTTTTATAGGTATGTTAACTTTTACATTATAATTTTATTAACCATTTTTTGATAAATCCTAGTATATTTAATTTAAAAATATACCAAATATAAAATTTTTAAATATAGGTATGTTTTTAATTTTAACACATAAAAGTGCAACAAATAATAAAATGTGTTTTTTACTCCTTTGATGTGGAATAGTGTATTGAATCATTGCTAGTTCTGAAAAATGTAAAGTAAGTTTTAAGGAACTATGACTTGATAATATTATTTATAGCCTAAAAAATTGTTATTAAAAGTTTTTTCATAGAATAAATGTTTATAAAACTATACAAAAATTAACGATTTAATAAAAATACAGTTAAATATGTAATATACCCAAAATAATTAATTCAATACGAGCAGGTAGTAAATTCTAAATATAGACATATTTTTAAATAAATTTTAAGAGGCAGATGTTGACTATTTCCGAACGCCTCCGAACAATTACAATGGAGCATTAAAATGGACATTACTTCTTTCCGTAACTGTACCTAAATTAGTATAAATTCCCTTACAACAATGGACAGCCTTAATTTATTATTCAAAATATTAAAATAATTTTAATCCTTTTCGGAAGGTATTGTATTGCAAGGTAATTTATTATTAAAAATATTAAAATAATTGTAATCCTTATTTACCTCTGCATGTACCTAAATTAGTATACATTCCCTTACAACAATTGACAGCCTTAATTTATCTTGCTATTTCTTCGATTGAATATGGCTCTAAATTTTATTAAAAGTTCGAAAGGCAAAAATCTTTTGTCTCTCAACGGTTTCATATACACTTCCGACAAAGTAAGTGAAGACAGAATTTATTGGAAGTGTGAACATTTTAAAAAAAATTCCTGTAAAGGACGTGCAATTACATCAGATGAAACAGTCATCAAAGAAAATAACTTGCATAATCATTCAGGAGATGCAGCAGGTATTGAGGTCAGAATTGTATATGGATCCATGAAGCAAGAAGCAGAAACCGGCCGTGATCCTCCTCATTACATTATTTCTAATATTTCTACTCAATTGAGTCGAGCCGCTGCCACTCAACTTCCTAGTGTTGAAACAATGAAGAGAACGATACGAAATGTAAGGAACAAGATAGAAGCTGGCCCTGTTACTCCAAGACACCGAGCCGATATTACTTTTTCCGATGAATACAAGCAGACAAGCAGTGGTGAAAACTTCCTGTTGTACGATTCTGGAATGACACCCGACAGGATTTTAATTTTTGGCACCCGAAAAAATCTGGAACTTCTCGAGTCTTCCCTACACTGGTATGCTGACGGAACATTTAAAACAGTGCCAACACACAATATACGGTTTAGAAGATAAAATTGACATAAGTGCAAAACAGTTTTTGGATATTTTCTTACAAACCTCAGACACATGATAGTCCCATCTTAAATTTGAATCAAGATTGATACCTTAAAGCTTAAGTTGTTAAATTTTTGAATAGATTTGTCATTAAATTAAATGAGTGAACTACATGGATTTTTCGAAGAAAAAAATAATAAATGTCGTATCTTGATTTAAACACAAATAAGAGATATCAAAATAATTTGAAAAAGTTGTTAAATTTGTAATCCTTTCTAAACTTTTGTTCAAAAGCAATATATTTATATTTTGAAATTTCATTGAAATATAATAAAAACAGTAACAGACCAAGAACACTTCCTTGCGGCACACCGGCTTGTAACGATTTGTTTTCACCGTATAAAACAAATTCTTTTTTATTGATAAGATAACTTCTAAGAATTTTAACTAAGGTAATAAGTTAATGGGCACTCCATAATTTACTCCAAAATTATGTTTGCAATTTAAGGTAATATAACTTAAGTATATTAGGTAAGATTTATTTACTTTTACCCACCTAGCCGTCATTGTAGACGATCTTCTTCTACCTTCACTCGAATCACTTGCTCTGGAATGATTAGCAGCCGCCACTGAAGTCAACGATGACGTAGTAGAGGAAGAACCCGAAGTCACCTGCTATGAATTAAAAAATACATGTTTTAACATTACAAAAACAAACACAAATAATAATATACCATGTGGTTATTTGGAATTTCGGACACGTCCTCCATGCTGGTGTGTTCTGGGGATGATATGGGGTACATTCTGAGAAATCTTGCATGGTCTGGATGAAGGAGGGCGCTACTGGGTCTCCGCATACTTGGAGTCGGTGAGTGTACAGGGGATGTAGATGTGCAAGCAATTGGCGAAGGAGAAACCTTTAAATTTTAAAATATTACTAAAGGAATAACTAAAATATAAAAATCATTCCTGTAAAACTATAATTAATCAATATAAGTAAAACGTAATTTAAACAAATAGGTTTTTTTTTTACCTTTTTTTTTATTAAATTTGTTGGTTTTTAGTTTATGAAAAGTGTAAGCAATAGAACCTAAAGTATATTATAAAACCTTAAACAATACCTATTATGTTTGCTATTACTAAACATATTATACACTCAGAGAAATATCAAGTTATGAAAAGCATATGAAATTATATTAATTTAAATAATCGGGTAAATTTGATTCAAATAGAAAAAATTTTAGTTTTACATTCATTTACCAACAGTTTTACAATGTTTTGAAACACTTTTAAAGTGTACCCTCTTTAAAATATATATACAAAAAGAAATCCATTTATTTCATTGCCTTTCTCAAAGTTGTTTAAAAAAGATATGTATTATACAATTGTTATGCACCTATTAATTTAATGGGAAACACCAATGACGCCAAAACATATTTGAATCCCTAATAATTCAAAGGGATTCAAATATGTTTTGGCGTCATTGGTGTTTCTCATTAAATTAAAAGGTGTATAACAATTGTATAATACATATATTTTTAAAATAACGTTGAGAAAGGCAATGAAATAAATAGATTTCTTTTTGTATATATATTTTAAAAAGAGTACACTTTAAAAGTGTTTAAAAACATTGTAAAACTGTTGGTAAATGAATATAAAACTACATTTTTTTCTATTTGAATCAAATTTACCCGATTATTTAAATTAATATCATTTCATATGCTTTTCATGACATAATATTTCTCTGAGTGTAATATTATAATATTTTTATTAATACTAGTATAATATACATGACATTTACTAAGTTTTCATGTAATTTCAAAACTATTGGATTAATACGGTTGACCTTTGTAATAATCATACAAAATTTATTTTTTGTTTACCTGTGTGGATTCAATTCCAGAATCGTTGTGCGTATTACTTTCGAAACAAGTTGAATTTTGCGATGTTTCATCTTCTGCACACGGTGGAAATACGAAACTTTGACCATCAGCTTCGCCTCGGGGAGAGTCCGAACTAGGCCAAACCTTAAAAATTAAAGATATTAAAATATTTATTTAGTAAGGGGTTTGCTTTTTGATCCTTGTTTAAGTACGTTGCGACAAAATTAGGTTAAAGTTGAAGTTATTTTTGCTTTAATGAGTAAACTTTAATTGAATGATGTGCTAAAACAATGTTGTAAACACCAATGTGGCAAAATTTTGTATGTTGTTTCGTGGAACAATATTGTATGTATTGGGGTGTTTCAAAAAAATTGACTTTTTCTTTTTCTTCAAATGGTCAGCAAATTCTTTCAGAGAATGTCAAAACAAAGACCTCGTTAAAATTTGAGCTTTTAATTTGAAGATTTAGAGGTCGCGGATCGCAATTTTCTATTTCCCATTTAAATAACATAGGAATTTTTTTTTAACTTTGGAATTTTATACGTCTATATCGAATCAACTTATAGCAAGGAGCATCTTAGATTTTTATAGTAAATTTAACGCTCTATAAAAAATGTCTAATAAAAAATAATTTTTCTTTAAATTGATTTCTTCCAGAGTTATTCGAGGCCAAAGTTTGATTTCCATCGAATATTCTCGTTTTTTCAACTTTTAGCATCATGTAGTAAAAAAATCACATATTTATATCTGAAACAAAAAAACAAAAAAAACGTCACTTTTTTCCAAAGCCTACTACAAAGTTTTAATGAAAATATGAGATGTGTATAATATGCAGAGTAATTTATATATAAATGCAATTTTCTCGAAAATGGTGCATCTGAGCAAATTCAAATCAAGAGTAAATATTTTTCGTAAAAAACTATAAATTCTCATAATCTCATAAAAAAAATTAAATTATTAACCCAGAAAAAAGTTGGGGCTATTTTTGTAACTTTGCCCCCTCCAAATGTTACGCCTATGATTAAATTTTAACAGTTTTGATCATAGATCTAGATTCAGCATGTCAAAATTACCAAAGTACCGAAAATTCATTTGTTCATGTTCAACCCTCTAGGAATAGTTTTAAAAAAATTATCCTCGTAGGCTCCTATTCAGGGGGCCGCAGCTCCTTTAGGGAGCATTTTTTGATACATGTTTATAAAACAAAAAAAGTGTTATTTTTATACGAATAATGCACTGTTTAAGTTTGGCCCCCTAATTTCGGGACACCCGTATAATGATAATTGTACCATAAATGTTAAAAAAAACGCGAAAATTCGATGGAAATCAAACTTTGGCCTCGAATAACTCTGGAAGGAATCAATTTATAGAAAAATGATAGAAGATTTTTTTTGTAGAGCGTTAAATTTACTATGAAAATCCTTGACATAAGTTGATTCGACTCAGACGTATAAAATTTCAAAGTTAAAAAAAAATGCCCATGTTATTTAAATGGGAAATAGAAAATTGCGATCCGAGACCTCTAAATCTTCAAATTAAAAGCTCAAATTTTGACGAGGTCTTTGTGTTGACATCCTCTAAAAGAATTTGCCGACCATTTGAAGAAAAAGAAAAAGTCGATTTTTTTGAAACACCCTAGTATGTATTTGTATATACCGTAATAAATAGGCAAAATGAAGTTTTTACATTTTAAAGCATTTTTTTGAGCAACGTTTTTCAGCATATCATTTAATTTAATTACACCAGTTGACAAATTAAAATTCTTTGTTTGCCACAAGCAGTTAATTTAAGATAAATTTTGGAAAACTATTTTGAATTTTGAAAAATTAACCCGTGGATCCTTATATAAAAAATTATTTTTGCGAGATTACTAACAATCAAGGGACCACTTGATGAATTTCCACTCAATTCGTATTCGTATTTCTAGTACGACTACACTCCATAAGAAGAGTTTGGTAAACATAGTTTTCAATACAGTTTCAAGAGTTTTTTGTGTTGTGGCTTTCGCTATTTAGCTATTTATGTTTTTTCGCTCAGTTATTGTTAGTTATTCTACATTGCATCTGTGTATTTTTCTTAATGCCGTTTTTCTGTGCGTCCCGTTTGCATTTTTTACATTATTTAAATATTTATTATTGGTAAAACCATTTACGCTTTACTTTTTAAAGTATTTTTTTATCCTCTTAATAAAATTACAATAATTTGTTCTTAATGCTGTAACACCTAATATTTTAGTTCAAAAATGCGATACTTAACAGAAACTCTGCAAATAGAAATATGAATTATGATTGTTAATAGTGATATGTTCAGATCTTAAGACCAAGTTGCAAACCTTTTTAATGAAAAACACCCAGACTTACCACAATTTTTTTAGGCAACTGTGTCCTAAATTAGCTTTTCAAAAAGATCAGGTTGCACGTAAAATAGACGTTAGTCATTCGACTTTTTTTTAGGGTAATTCTGATAGAAGATTGCAATTTTTGAGCAAATGCTGAATATGTTAAACAGGAATATTATTCTTCTTTTAGATATATCCTTTTTTATAAATCAACATTTCTTTAGAGGACGAGGTAATAAGGAAGAATTGCAGATACTGTGCAGAAGAAAACCCCCACTGGATGCGACATCTGAAAATGCTTCCAAACTCATTAAAACCTAACCTTCCCGAAAGGATATGGCTTCAACAATACGGTGCACCACGCCACTATACTCTTCCTGTACGAAAAAAACAGGATTCATAGAATGGTCAGCAATATCACCAGATCTAACACCTCTAGACTTTTTTCTATGGGGACATTTAAAAAACAGAGTGTTTAAAACACAATAGGCTAATTTATATGAATTGTTTCTTAATTATAAGTATTGCAGAACTTAGGAACATAACACCGGAGGTTTTAAACAGAGTGCGGAAACAATTTCTCAGTGGATTACTTAATTTTCAGAACCTTTTGAACATTTATAAGATTTATTATTTAATTCATATTTTTTAATTTTTAATTAATTTTAAAATAAAACGTTTTACATTTCCACCCTGTATTGAAAACTATGTTTTCTAAACCCTACTTATAGGGTATCATCGTACTAAATAAAATGTGCATCAATTTGTTGATGAAAAAAGTGGGGTTGTTATTTAAGATAAATGTGCATAATGTGGTGGTGGCAAAAAAATTAAAATTATTATTATAAGTTTTAAAATAAAAAAACTAAAGTTTACGTGTTTGGGAGTTTTTCATAAAAATCTTTTCTTATCGATTAACGAAATTTATCCCATAAGTAAGTATATATATATATTTTGTTAATTAAATACTTTAACCAAAGATCATTAATAATGTACCTAAATATAAATATAAATTGATAAATAATTTAAAAAAATTATCCTTGTCATTTTTTAATTTATTTTAGTTACTTATGCAAGAAAATTTTGTATGCTTTTGTAACATTTTGTTAAAGAATATTCCCGAGTCAAAATTTAGATCGTAATTTAAACCTACTTTGACCTACGAAAACTGATTTAAAACCTGTTCAGTCTGTTAACTCCAATTTAGCACTAAAACAACCAAATTAATCTTCATTTGAACCGATTTAAACCTCTAATAAAATTTTTGGTCAGATTATAAACCAAGTAAATCATTTTAAGTCAAAAATAAAATTTTACCATTGATAAATTCCATTTTTTAATTTTACTGCAAATAATGCATGTAAAGAATTCATCCGTTTATTTTAGAAATATAAATTATTCAACAGTTTGTACCAAGTTTTCAACCCAACCCGAACCAGCATTTACAATGCACTCTACCTATACTTCTACTGAACTCAAGCTATTAAGTATTAACTATTAAATCGTAAAATTCACTCATTTAGGTTTTTTCTTAACTACGTATAAATACGTATAAATGATTTTAGGTACCTTAAATTATTTATATATTGTCGCTGCGCATTTTAACAAATTTTACAGGAGAAGAAAAACATTTTACTACCAGATAAAACTGTTATGAAAGTATGTTAATATTATTTCAGTACTTAATTATACTGAAAAATATAAGGAAATACTTTCATCAAAGTTTTATCTGGTAGTGAAAAAGTTAAAATGCACATATATGTTTTTTCAGGGGCAGCAACGATATTTAAATTTAAATATTGTCGCGCTTTTATTAATCGACATGCGCAGTGGCCTGGGCTTTTTCGGACTGTAGGTTGTAAACGGTCACAATTTGGTTCAAATTTAAACGTAATTAGAACCGAAAAATCGGGAAAATGGACTTATCTGCCATGTTTTAGGTTAAAAGTTGGTTATCTTTAGACGAAAATAAAACAGTTAAGACGGAAATTGTTCAGACATTAGGTTTAAATTACGATCTAAATTTAGACTCTGGTTATTTTGATTAACTAAAATTCGTATTAATACTTATTTTAATTTTCGAACACATAAATTGCATGTTCCCCGAGTCAAAATTAAGATCGTAATTTAAACCTTATTAAGTCTGACAATTTCCGTCTTAAACGGTTTTATATTCGCCTAAAGATAACCAACTTATGACCTACAACATGGCAGATAAGTCCATTTTCCCGATTTTTCGGTTCTAATTACGTATAAATTTAAACCAAACATTTTATTAGAGGTTTAAATCGGTTTAAATCGGTTCAAATGAAGATTAATTCGGTTGTTCTAGTGCTAAAGTGGAGTAAAGAGACTGAACAGGTTTTAAATCAGTTTTGGTAGGTCAAAGTAGGTTTAAATTACGATTTAAATTTTGACTCGGGTGGGTGCCTATTTGTCAATTTTTATTTTATTGGGTTATAATTTTAACACAATAAAGTAAATAAATAAAGCTATACAATTTTAAAAACTTTATTAAAATGGGACAAAATTCTTGTTGTTCATTTTGAATTCTTAATTTTATCAAATTTTGGAAAAAAATAAATTTATTTTGTTAAAAACAGGATTTTTTTTATTATTAATACTTGGTTAAAATAATTGATTAAAAATACATGATAAATATACAATATGTAGGTACACATTTACATGTTTTAATGTTTGCATGTCGAAAAAAAAAGTAATTTGCAATATATTAAAAACTAGAGCCAATTAAGAAAAATAAGTTCAAAAAATCATGCAACCAAAACATCCTGAAAAAAGTTGGACACCATATGGCTAAGAAATATTAAATACTATATTAATTAGGTAAATGGAATTTAAACTCATACAAATTTAATTGAATTTCAATATCAGCTGTATATTTCAAATCAAATATATGCCGATTTCCTATATTGATTTAAACTAAATTAAAATCATGTAAATCATTACCAACTGAAATGCAAAATATTAATCGTACAATGACAACATAATAAAATAAGAATATTATTTATAGGGTGATTTAAATGTAATTGTATTTTAAATTTGTATAACGGTGCACCCATTTTTAAAATGTATACTTTTCTTTAAACATTATAAACGTTTTTATCATATAATATGTTGTATTGCTACTGTTACTTCGGGCCGACGAATTCATTAAAACATTATTTTGTTTACTCTCATTGCATGGTATTGGATTTTTTAGTATATAATGATGATAACGGAAATATTGAACTCAATATTTAAGTTGTTGAACATCACAGTAAATTTTGAAATTGATGAAGCCATCAGTAATTTCAATATTTACTGTGATTTGAACCAAATAAATTGAAAAAAAAAGCGACTATAATGTTAAATATCATGTATTTGTAAAAAGTGAGGTTAACCATCTGATATATCTCAGATTATATTTATTTATTTTTAAATTATATACTATTTGAAGTAAATAAATTATACGCTAAAGAAGTATCGGATTTTCGCAACGCGCGCCCCATCTGGTGGACTTCGATAGCATTGGGTGATATTAAGAATTGTCAACAATACATTTAAAGCATACGAACTGTCCATCTTTTTAAACAAATTGGTAGCTAAATCGCGCACGTTATTTGTGTTTTACGTTGCAAGGAAAAAAATAAAAAAACTGGTTTAATTATTCCTTATATCATTGATTAAGAAACTTAAGGCTTAAATGCTTATACCTATACTATATAGTTACGTTAGTGTGTGTATTTTATCTGGTGAATGATTTTGTTTTGAATTGTAAATAAAATTCAAGAATTAAATCGTTGCATTTTCATGTTTTGCCAAAGGATCCAATTCGATAAGTACATTTGTTAGTGCAGAATTAACTAATGATAAGTTTACCTAATATAATTTATATTTAAGTATGGACATTTTAAGAAATTAGTAAAAAATAATTGTTGCACAAACATAACCTTAAAATCGAACATTTTTATATTTGAGTTCTCTTAAAAACGCCGACAACTGCATTTTAAACAACAAAATATATCTACGAATTCATGGCAACATAATATTATATATTATACATAATATAATGGCATTCTACCGTTGAGTAAAGGCTTTCTTAATCAACGCTTTTAATAATGCTAAATGCTTTTGAATTTAGACGACTTACTTGTTTGACGATTTTTACTGAATTAAATGTTTAGACTTTTCACGTTAATCATTACTAAAATGTGTATTTATTGTATCTAATAGATACAATTTATATTTACAGCTATCATTCGGATTAACACTGTTTATTGGAAAACCGGTAAAAACTCAACCTGGGATTTCCTCTCGAAATACACTCAATAACACAACAAATCGTTCCACGGTTTTTTTCCAATATTTTTTTTAACATTTTCTGGCTTTATACTCAAAAACATTCGTTTGTAACATAAGCGTTTAACAGCTGATTGTTAAAAGTTGTAGATTTGTTACGATGATAGCGGCCTAGTGGTCTTTCTTTAGCGTATAGCAATAAAGTTGAGATTATGCACATAATTCATTCGGATGATTTTCGTCTCTCGTCTGGCGTAAGTAATTAATAGCCTGCATTATATCCCATAAATATTACAATATAACCCAAAAAATTAATTAGTAATTTTAACACCATATGGTTATGGCTAGGATCTTTTTCAAAGGCTATCCCATAATCAAAAATTAAATCGTTAGTGATTAGGAAAAATATTTAATTAATAAAAAAATACCCTTACGTTAGTTTATTACAAATATATTTTCTTTTATTTAATAAAACATGAAATATAAAAATCGATGAAAAATTTCGCACACTTCATATTGAAATGTCTATAAAAAATTAAATTTATGGGATTTATGCTTTAGTTTATATATTTATTTAAATTGACATGTCGAATAATATATTATACTTTTTTATAAAATTTGTATAAAATTGTAAAACAAAAATGCTTCTAAATACTAAAGCTTATTATTTTGTAAATTTGTAGGCTATGTATTAAGGATTACAATTATTATGATCCGAAAATAGCAATTTTTTTACAAACATATCATGAAAGAGTTTTGTTTTAGAATACAATATATTATTTTTATAAAAAGAAATATCAAATCCATAACACGTTATAACTAAATTAGCCAACAAGTAGAAGCAACTCCTTTAGAAATATTCTTTTGTTATTAGAAAGGTTAAGGAAGAGTCAAACAATAGTCATCCAATTATTGTCCATTGTATTTACAAGAATAATAAGTAATAATTACATACCTGCAAGAGTGGCAAGGAGCAATTAGGTCCCGGTTTGGTCTCCTCTAATGGAGAATCGCCCCCTTGTTGGGAGCTTGAGCTGCTGTTTGACGACCTTACAGCTGACCAAAACCGTTTTAAACCCAACTCTCGAAATGGTTTCTGAAAAAGATTAAAAAACACTTAAAATTACTACATTTTAAAATTTAAGAAATATTTATGTATCTTATAATTAGATCAACATTCGTAAAATTATTTAATGTAAAGTTGACAAAGATAAATAAAATTAGATGCGTAATAAAGATTTTTGGTTTAATTTAGTTCACCTTTTTGAACTTTTTGTTAAATTCTAAACTAAATTTTCTAATTATATTTTATTTTATGTATTAAATGTTTAACTAAACTTAATTTAATAATATATATCCCTAAGAGTTTAAAATTTATCAAAATATAAATTAAAAACTAAAGTTTTTTTGTAAAGTATATACAGGGTTGTATAGAAAGTTATTTAAGTCATTTTTAAATCATAAAGGTTTAAAAATGAAATTTTATTTTTGTTATTTTATCGTTTTAAGAATATTTATTCATAAATTTATTTATTTATGATGGTATACTAAGTATCAGGAACAGTAAGGGTAGTTTACGACGAAGTTTGAGATGCTTATACTATTTTTTGTACGATTATTATAAGCCAAAATTTAATAAAAATTATTTTTTTTTATTTTGGGATTTTTTGTCAAAAAACTTTTTGAATTCGTTGTTACGTATCCATTTCAATTATATTTCTTAACATCACGTTATTGTAAACGTGCGTGGCAAGGTGAAATAATCTTTTACGTATAAAAAAACGTTGTTCACATCAAATAGCTGCAAGATGAATTGTTTATTTTTAACAACTCTTTGTAGATGAAATATATTCATGGCAGTAAGTTAACAGCGTTGGCATAAAAAATACTCGTTAGAAAAATGTTTAATAATTAAAATATCCCCTATTGCGTAGTGGGAAATTGTGCGCCATATAATTAAGTATGTAATTATTTAAAAGTTGTAAAACCTGTTTAATATTTTTATAATCAACATTTTTACGTTTTAAAGAAAAACGCTTATTACGTTTTATTTTTTATTTTTTCTATCTGAAGAGTAAAGTGAGTAAAGTTTTTTTCTTAATTTAACTTCCTTTTATACTTAAGTTGTTTTTGCCTTTTAATTAGAATATAAACGCCTTTTTAGGGTATTTTATGGATTTCTTTAAATATTTATTATGAACAGTATTTAACCAAAGCATAATAAAAGAATGTGAAATGAATTATTGACTTTATTATTAACATGCCAATTGTTTAAACCGTATTTTCACGCGATTTGTATTTTGAAATTGCTATACTGTACTGTACTAAGGGTTAAGACAAATGGTTGCGTTTTGGGATGTACATATCAGTTTTAATAGTAAATTATAAATATTATTATTATAAATATTAATTAATTACTTATAATGTTTAAAATTATTGTTTTGCGTTTAACTAAAAAACGTTTAAACATTATGTAAATATAAAAAACGCCATTTTATATACGAATCTAATTAAATAAGTGTCTAGAAGAGTTTATGAACGAGTTGCATTCTACATTTTATTATATATTATTTATTATATACTATATCCAAAAATATTAAAAATCAAAAATTCGTATAGAGCGACATCTATAAAACAACCAAATTGGGAATCTGTATTACCGGCTTTTCGGTGAAAATGTCAAATTTATGGGTGTAAATCAAAATGTATCCCTTAAAAAGGGACCGTTTAATCCGTTAAAGAAGCAGTTTTTCACGGTGAAAGCAAAAAAAATATTTTATTGGCACTTCACAGTGAAGCTTCACCCGAAATTTAGTTAAATTTGGTTTACCGCCGGCAAAATTTAAAGGTCAGTACAATGTTCAAATAAACTTTTTAAGTATTGGTGTTAAAAAACTATTTAACTTTTGTATTTTTGTATTGAAATAATAAAATATTTTTTAAATTTATTATTATTTTATAAAAAGGGCACTTTATTTAAACAATTCAATGACATTTGACAACTGTCGACTAACTTAAAAATTACTTTAGCCAGTGACTAAAAACCTGTTGCTAACTTTAGCCCGTGACTCAAAAACCATAAGGCCACAACTTGTAATGGGCGTTTTCAAGGTGGGAATACAACAAATTTTTGTTATATAAAAACAAAAATGCAAAACTTCATAAAATAAATTAATTTGTTTATGAAAATACGGAATATAATATAATATATGTAATTAACAGAACTTTTTAAGGCATAAATCCTTATCCCTTTATAAAGCTTTAAAAAGTTTAACAGGAAGTGCCCTTCAAAACAACGCAGCTTTTATGATTGATGGGCTAATAATGTGACAAACTAAAAATACCGAAATAATAACCTTAGATGTGCGGCCTCGTGATTTCGAGTCAATTTCTTAACTTTATAGTGACATTGACCTGTAAAAAATCCACAATAACGGCAGCGGGCAAACTTATATTACAACCTGTCGTAAGGGACGATCTTCGCACCGTGAGTCAGATTTTAATAATTCTAAGCATTTTATACAAGAAAATGCGCATGTCTTGTATTGATAAATTGTTTAATTTATAGGTCTTAAAAATTTGCTTATACTTTCTTATTCCATTAAATTTTTTTGTAGTTATAATTATTATATAAAGAACCCTTATATAGGTTAAAATAAGTCTAAAAAATAAAAAATAAAAAATGTTTATATAAAACCATATTTTTTAAAATAAAAATGTTAAAACGATATTAGAAAAAAAAATAGTTATGAGGATATAGTTTCTTTTAAGAAATTAATTTAAAATATATTTATATGCATAATTTAAAAAAATTAATAATCGAATAAACAGTAATAAAAAATAGTTAATAAAAATGAATTTTAAAACTTAAAAAAAAATACTTTGTCTTTAAAATTTAGTTTTTCAATGTGAATCACTGTGCTTACAATCGAACTGTAAGGGTCAGGGCGGCCTTGGATTGCAATAGGCCTGCCCTTGATGCACAACCTGTCACGTGAGAATTAAATTAGTTGATTAGATCGTGGCTACGCACATAAATCTAACAGTGTGCACCTTGGCCTAACTAAATATCACTAAAGTAACTTTTTAAAAGGTTTATGTAACCTTAACATGTTTAATTATTATTAAATATTTTTATACAATTAGCTGCATATTTTATTTTTATAAAAAATTTGGTATTTAGTTTTTATAGTATGCATTTTATGTATTTTTTTTAATTAACTAAATATTGTAAAAAATGGCGAATGATCCGGGATATTATGTTAATTAAAATTTCCCGGTGCATTCGCCATTTTTGTAATTATTGACATTACTTTTTACGATTTAACATTTCTTTATGCATTAAAAATTCCCAAAAGCTTGAATTTATTATTTAATGTAAATAAATTATTTTTCAAAATAATTATATATATATATATATATATATATATATATATATTATTAAGGCAAAATAAGTACAAAAGGACAAAATTAAAAAATAAACGCCTTTATTTTAATAAATTTATAAAAAAATAATTTAACAAAATAACATTGCATTTTTTATGCTTTCGTTGGTTTATTTGTCATGAAAGTAAAGTAAATTTTTGACATTTTCTTTTGTTAAATTATGTAGTTTGTACTAAAATATTTTTTTAAAGAAAAAAGAAAGTCAGCGCCATTGCAATGCATTGCTCTGATCATAGTAATGCACACTAGCTCCACTTAAAAAACATTTAAATGTTGGTTAGTTGATTTGTTGGTCGGCCCCTCGGTTGTGTTGCGATTTAGCTTACTATTTTCTTTAAAAAATCAATTATTTTATTAAAAAAATTAAAATATTAAAAAGGCATTATGTTTTCTATTTTAGACAAGCAATTAGACATTTTAGGTTTTTTTTAGAAAAAAAAGGGCATGTTGTTAAATTGTACTAATGTCCAAAACACATTTTGCACTAAGAATTTTTAACAGCCTATCAAAATTGGCGATAAGCATTTTGCCTTGAATCCGGTTCTATACAAGGTGTCCGGAAATAAAGTTAATATTTATCGGTGGTTGATTCTATACCTAAACATAAACCCTTTTGGGGTGCTACAGGTATTTTAAACTGTTTCACAAAATCAGGTTTTTACCATTATTTCAGAAACGCTTAGTGATAAAATAATGATACTTTATTTCTGGGGTAATTCTTGGGCAAGAAATCATCAGGTGGTGTCAAATCGGATAAATGTTGACCATTTCGCGGGGATTTGTTGAATTTTTGATCATGGAACATAATTTTTTCAGATAATTTTACTAAAAAGTTATGGAGCCGTTTTCGAGAAAAACGACATTAAAAATGTCTCACCACAAAAATTCATAAAATCTAGTTATTAAACGCAATAAATGAAATACAACAATAACGAAATTTATTTTCAATTTTTAACAATTCTTACTGTAGTAAATGCTCAAAATGACGGCAGTTCTCTTCTAAACAATGTTTTCGAAAAATCCAGGTTTAATTCATTTGGATTTCTTAAGGTTAGGAATTGGAACCTTCTAATCTCATCCAGCGACAGAATTTTAGTCTACGTGGAAGATCTTAAGGATTTAAAACTTGTACTATCTGTAAATGATAGGGATATAGCATTTGTTTGTGCATTATTTTTCAAACTGTACTTTTTAAAACTACTTCCAGGACTTTTTCTTCGTTTTCCACAGTTCAATTTGTTCGTTTTCTCCCCCAATCATCATTGTTTGCTTTTCCAAAAAAATATCGTCTCTGAAATAAGTAATAAAAACCTAATTTTGCGAAACAGTTTAAAATGCCTATAGCGTCCCCAGGAGGCATTATCGGACATATGTTAAAAGGATTTTTACGTGTAAAATCATCCCCCAAAATATATTAATGTTACTTCTAGATACCCTGTATATTACGTGCGTAAAGTTTTGCCAAACATTTTAGTTCCACTTGTTTGATTTTTAGTTCTGTTTAATGACCAAAGCAACGGCTTCAAACAGTTTTTTTTTAATTTATTTTTTCTACCACCACCTTTAAAACGCCCTTTATCGTACATGTTTCCATGACACTAAGTGACCTTTTAAATACACATTGACAAGTTGTGGCTTTATGGCGCTTTA